TCACAAAATTACAAAAAAATTGTTTAACTTTTTTTCTAAGGAAATACAGTTCTTTAATATAAATTTTTAATATTAAAGTTTTTCAAAGTGCAAGTAATGGTTTTTGCTAATGTATTACTAAAAAAGTTGTAAAAAAGAGATCCAAAACAACTTATTTTCCCTTTACTTTATAGTTATTTAGTATTATAGTTATATAGTTAGTCTAATTGTCCCCATTAATAAACTAATAATTATTTTATTTAAGTAAGTTTTTTTTAATGTTTTTTTGTTCTATCAAAAAATAAAATTTACCAAATCCGAGCTGAAAGTTGCCAGATGTACACCTATTTTTACCAGATTATGATTTCCAATGCTGTCAAAAGTTTTCGGATCTGACACAAATATCAAGCAAAAAACGAAAAAAAAAAGACAAAAAACACCATTTAGGGCCTGGTAATTCTGTAATTTTTCAGTCTGTTTTTAACAAAATTTTGCGAAATAATTCCGTTCCGTTAAAACGCTTGAAAAAGGCAGAAATGACTTAATTTTTTAATATAATTTAGTGATTTCGTGATTTGTTTTTCCAAGATTTTGCTAAAAATAACAAAAATTACCAAAACAATAATAATGTTTTTTCGGTCCATTTTTGACCAAATTTTGCTCAAAAACATATTGAATAAGACTAACAATTTTTATTCGTGCTAATAAAATTTTGCAAAATAAATAAGCTTCTGTTTCAGAAACAAACTAAATTGAGCGAAACAATAAAATATTATCAATTTCTATTCCATTTCAATATCTAATTTGATAACTTCTCATCCAGTTTTAATGAAAAAAATGTTTTTTCTAGTATTACACTTGAAAAAGGCAAAATAACCTCATTTTTGGACTAATTCGCTCACTTTTCGCCTTGTTTTTTAATAAAAATTTATCAAATAATTGCGTTTCTGGCTGAAAAACGTACTAAAACGCTCCGAAAAGGGCACAAATAATTAATTTTTGATTTAAATTGGTTCTGGTTCTGACTGCTGACAGTGTAATCTCATAAAAGGCTAAAAACTAAATTGATCAAAATAAGCTAAACTAATATCATCTTTTAATTTGATAATTTACAAAACTGTTCAAAAAATTGTTTGTTATCTTAAGAACATACTTAAATCTACAAAAATAAGTAAAATAACACAGTTTTTCGTAATTTGGTAAAATAATAAGCTTGATTTTAATATGATTTTGCAAAAATAATCAGGGTTTTTCGAAAAAAATTCTAATATTTCGTAATTTTTCGAATTATTTTTAATAAAATTTGACGAAATAATAACTCAATTTCCGTCTAAAAAAGTGCAATCGGAAATGCAACAAATAGTGTCATAGTGCCAATACTCTATTTTTTTTAATTGTTTCAAAATGTATTAATTTTTGTTGTTATGTACCGCAGTTATAACAGTTTTAAAAAATCACCAGATATTATTTATTATTTAACTCTGCTGTTGAATAATAAGTTCAAGTTATACTAATTATAAGGCGAAATAGTTGGTTGTATAAGCTTGTCATAAATAATTTTTAAATTGCTGTTTTTTACAGAATTTGCCGAATTATTTTACTTGCCCGTAAAAATTTACCGTCTGATAAAGCATTAAACTCGTGTCGTAATTTCTCCCATTTTATAGCTTGAATAAAATTATTCCTTGTTGACATAAATATTCAAAACGTTTGATTAAAGATAATGTTGAAAAGTCTTGTCACAATTCTGTATTAAAAATAAAGCATAAATCCCATTTTCTATTCTTGCAGCAGTCCGAATTTCAATTTGCAGTCAGACACCGCCCTTAGATTTGATTAAGAATATCCTCGAGTTGGATCTAGTTTCCGAGTTAAAAAGTAGTCCTCAGTTATGCCTGTGTTGACGAGAATATTTTATTAGCTGAAAAACATGCAAAAGTCGAAATTAGATTTTTCGCTTCCGTTATTAGCTCTCACACCATCCGAGATGCATTCCAATTTTTCGATCAAAAAACTCAACTTCCATTATTTTGTCCAATAAATTAATTCCTACCAATCGATACCCAGGCGAGAAACGCAAACTTATCTAATTTTAAATGTTTGCATATGAGGGTTTTGTTGATTTTACCAGTTGCGAGGTATTTATTCAAGTTTAGGCCGATGTTAATATTTTAATTATGACCCGAGTTCGACGTGGGCGCAAAGCCAACAAAAAATTAACTAAATCACCGTCACAAAAATTATTACTACCGATAATGGGCGAAACTTGGGCCATCGCAACGACCACAAAACACTCCCCAATAAACAGATAAATTTACGTGAGTTATTACCGGTTGTGGGATCCTTTCGCGAACCCAAAACAACAAACTAGGTGCTCTCTATCAAAACAGAAAACAAACGTTTATTAACTCTCTTGTTCACGGTTTAATTAAAGGATTATTTTAAAACGTTCGGGGACTTAATTAAAGCCATTGACACCGGATCCCGCAGGACATGACAAAATAAAACTGGAACAAGACACACAAAGACACTAATTCCGTTATATTTGAGTTTAAAACGTCTAAAATTTCTTCCAAAATGTGATTTTGGTGATTTGAGCTTGCAAAACTCGTTGATTGAGCGGCAAGTTTATTTATGTTCGGTGATCGCCTCATTAGCCTCCCCCATTCTTGGCTAGTGATCGATTTGGACAAATGTGACGTTTAATTATCTCGCAATAATCAAATCAAATCCGTTTTTCAACACACCTAATTGGGTAAAATGAGAGCTGATAAGGTCTTACGTAACTTTATTCATCACGTTGCAAAGTCAGTCTCTGGTTTCAGAAACGAACTAAATCGAGCGAAATAAGCTAAAATAATGTCAGTTTCGATACAATTTGGTAATCACTTTATCACTACCACTAGTTTTTACTGAAAAAATGTAAAAACAATCCCATTTTTGGCAAAATTTTTTGACTTTTCGGTGTGTTGGCAATAAACGCTGCTAAAGAAACACATTTCATGTAAGTCGATGTACCCGTACCTCTCAAAAAACTGAAAATTTAGTTGAAAAATTGTGCTTAAAAAAGCTTGATTGAATAAGGTGATATAATAACATTTTTGTATACGAGTACGCTCCCAAAAGTACGAACTGATTTAAGACCTTAAAGTGACTAAAGTGAAGTACTTCAAATAGTTATTTTGGGGAACGTTTACAAAAAGTGATATTAGTTCACCTTATTCACTCAAGCTTTTTTAAAGCAGGTTTTTGAGTTAAATTTTCAGTTTAATTAAAATAATTATTTTAGGTACTATTTTTTATTTTTATATTTTCCGAGAAATAAAGCATACATTTTAAGAGATTTGAATGTGTTTTAGAAAGCTTTAACCAAAACGTGTTGTAACACGCATCTACAAAGTTTTTGCGGACTCAAGTGCAACGATTTGTACGGCACAACTGTTTCCTTAGTACTTGTAATAAAAATAACTATTAAATAAGCTTTGTGGTTTTTTGGCCTATTTTAAACGATATTTTACTCAAAAATGAGCTAAATAGAATGCAAGATCTTGAAAAAAGTGAACCTCCGATTTAAAAACAAACTAAATCAAATGAAACGAGCTACAATAATATCAATTTTCATCTAATTTAGTAGCCAATTTTAGTGAAATTAAAAGAAATTGTTTTTATCTTGAAAACATCAATAATGGAAAAAATCTTTTATGTTTGCTACCCTATGTTAATAATGTTCGACTCTTTCAACGAAAACTATAATAACTCATAAAAATTGGTTTTTGAGTACAATGGCTTATGTAGGGTCCAATCGGCCCAAAATACAAAAACAATGAGAAAAAATTTCTTTGAATAAACAATATTATTACTAAAATTTAGACCCTTAGCAATTTTCAATAATATTAAACAGTTCCTTGATTTTTTATTAACAATTAAAAGTTCAATGCAATTTTTCCCAAAACTGTAATTTTTGAGTTACTAGTTTTCGTTGGGAAAGTCGTGTTTGATAATTTTAATATTTTTTTGATATCAGCTCGTCGTTTTATCGTTTGATTTATTAATTTTTTAATTTTAAATACCATTTTAAGCCTAATTTAGTGACTTTTCGGCTTGTTTTTAACACAATGTTACAAAATACTTCCGTTTTGGCTAAAAAACACGCTAAAAAGCTATTAAAATTTCCTTTGGACATTTCACGGTGTGTTTTAGTGTAATCTCACAGAAAACTGCGTCAAAAACACTTTTTGCTTCAATAAAGATGAAATAATACTATTTTCGAGAAAGTTTTGTGGCTTATTGTTAACGTTATTTCCTCAATGATGAACTAAATACGGTGAAAAACAAACAAATGTATTTTTATGCGTGTTTTCACAAGATCTTAGAAATTAAATCACTCTGATTCAAAAACACGAACTAAAGCAAACCAAACAAGCTAAAATAATACCAATTTTTATCTAATTTGGTAATTCATCAATCAGTTTTAACAAAATTAAAACAAACTGTTTTCATCTAACGAATTTCAACATTAAAAAAAAAAGAAAAAGAACACCACTTGTCACATCATTTAGTAAATTTTCAGCCTGTTCTTAACGAAATTTTGAAAAATACTTCGTTTACTGGCTGAAAAACGCAATAAACGCTACAAATAATGTAATTTTTTATTCAATTTGGTGATTTTTCAGTCTGTTTTCATTAATCATACATAATGACAAAAAAATTGAAAATTTTGTTCAATTGAAATTTTTAATCAAGTTTGCGGTTTTCAGCTTATTTTTGACGATATTTGATTCAAAAACGGGCCAAATAGTGTGAAAAGAAACGATTTGGTTTTTAGACGTGTTTTGACAAAATCTTGCAATAAAAAAATGAATCTCTGATTCAAAAACAAACTAAATGGACAAAACAATTTATTAGCTAGAAAAAGGCTAGGCACTATTTTTGCCCTAATTAGGTGGACTTTCGGCTTGTTTTTGCCAAAATTTTGCAAATTCGTTTTTCTGCACACATGATTGGGTGTAAATGAGAGCCGATTAAGGTCTTACGTAACTTTATTCATCACATTGCAAATACAGTCAACTTTGGTATATTTTCCAGCTCAAGAAAAAATCGTACAATATTCGACACCCTTATCAAAATATTTATACAAATTAATTTACAACAATTATGTACAAACGATTAATAAAAATAAAAACGTAACTATATTTGGTTTAAAAAGTGACTAAAACATATTTGGTAACGAATAAAATATTTACATGTAATCTCGATAAAAAGACTCGCTCTGTCACAGCTTTACAAAGATTTATACATTATTATTGTACAAGTCGTTACTACGTGTCTTCATCCCCCGTTTCCGAGCCCAAATCCTCCCCTTTCTGGAGACAGTCTCTGATTCCCCGAAGGATGATCTCGACGCGGCGGTCAAGTGCCTCCAAATGGGGCTCCCATAGCACTGGTGCCACCGGGTCTTTAGCTAAACTCTCTCGCATGGCTTCGCTGAGCTTCGGCCCGTTGTGGAACCTAAAAAAATAACATTTTTGATAAAGCAATTATTGATTTTTAACCCGGCGCATCCACCAAATATTTTATTATTATTGTGCCGAACCATCGCTAAACTGGCAACGGCTTAGACGAAATAATTGCTGATTTATTTTTCATGCACTCACTAAAAATAATATACTCTTGCTTAAGATAAAAAAGTAATAAGTCTTAATAATAGTTGTGTTATTTTAATCTTTTTTTAGTAACGTTGCATTCTTTAAAATCACTTTTAATGTCAAAGATATCTTTTTTTTTTCCTTCGAGAAAATGAATCGAATTTATCATTTATGTTATTCTATTTTTCAATTAATTCAAAATTTTTTCAGTGAAAAACGCCTTGAAAAAATACTTCAAAACAACAAAACCTTCTGCATAAACTTTTTATATACTATTCCAAAAAATTTAGGGAATTAAAGGATTTCTTACTTTTTTGGAAATTTTTAAAATATTGTACTTCAATGATGATCGTATTTAGATTTTAAAAAATCAGTTTTGAAGCTTCAAGTTTCTAGTCTTGAGATCTTTTATCCTAAGAAATAGCGCGAGAAAAAAATATTTTTTTTTGGTCCACGGACTTGGGGAAATTTTTATTAATTAAATCAATGCATGGGTTGAACACCTTGATTTTTAATTTATCTTTGATCATCGTTATTTCCGCAACCAATGACCGCACACAATGTAAAGCTAGTTTCAAAATCTGGAATAAATTTTCTACGAGGTTTTTACGATTAAAAAAAATTCATTTGCAACACTCATTTAAAGAAAAGAAAAAGTATTTTTTTGTTGTTGTAGTAAATTTATGGCGTATTTACAAATATTGATGAGGAGACTAATGTGTGTTTAGGTTTTTTTACAGTCTAATGTAGGTATGTTTGCCCAAAAGCTAATAATTTTTAAATCGATCCATCAAACTGTTTTCTCGAAGTGATTGATCAAAAGAATTTTTTTTTACAAAAGAATTAAAGGAATTAATTGTTTCTGAACACACAATGTTGTCTTCATCAAAATGGAAAAAAAACATTTTTCTTACAATTGTGCTGGTTAAATTTAAAAAAAATATTCGATTATTCAGATTTTTTTATATTTTTGGAAATTTGTAAAAAATAGAAAACCAATTTTTGAGAGTATTTTATTTAGCTTTTGCATACCGTCAAAATAATTGCATGTTAAAAGTTGATACTTCCAAGCTGTTATTCACCACTCTATTTACATTCATGCAAATTTTCAAAACAAGTCAATTTTTTTAATTGTTTCCGATTGTTTTTTACAAATTTAACAGTGGTGTATTGCTTTTCAAAACTAACAGCTTGAAGCATTTTGCAATAAATTTAGCAAACATAGGAAAGAAAAAATCGTTAATTGTTCTCAAGTCCTGCAAGTTATACCAATTTTTTGTTATTGCACCCATTGAAAAATGAAAATAATGTAGGTAGTCTTGCTTAAGGTAAAAAATAATAGTAATAACTCTTAATAATATTTGTAATTTCGTATTTATTCAATTTTTTTTTTAATAATGTTGTATTCTTTAAGGACACTTTTAATGTCAAAGATGTAAATTTTCCATTTTTCTATTTTCCCCTTCGTAAAAATGGTTCAAACTCATCGTTTATTCAAATTAATTCAAAATTAAGCTCTTTAGAGAAAAACTTTTTGAAAAAACATTTTACATAAACCACTATTCCAAAAAATTTAAAAAACAAAAAAATTTCTTAAATTTTTTGATAATTTTTAAATATTAAGTATACCTCAATGAAAAATGGTTTAGATTTTATTAAAAAAAAAATACAATTTTTGGCAAAACCTGAGCTCCGGTTATTACGTAATCCTAAGAAATAGGGCAAGAAAAGAATTGTATTTTTTTATTTTTTTTTTTTAGTCCACGGAGTTGGGGAAATTTTAATTAATTAAATCAATACATGAGCCGGATAGCTTGTTCATTCAGCTTAAATTGTTTTTTCTATGTTCTTTTTACATCGATTTGTCGCTGAGATAGTTGACTTTTAATAAAAAAGATGGAAATATTCGAAAAAATTTGATATTTTTGAAAATGTAAAAAATCAAAAACTAATACTTATTAATTTTTGAAACCATTTATTTAGCATTTGCATACCCTAATTTTACTCATCTCAAATTAATTGCAGTAATAAAAAGTTGATACCTCCAAGCTGTATTCAGCACTCGATTTACGAACATTCATGCAAATTTTCAAAAAAGTCATTTTTTAATTGTTTCCATTTTTTTTTAAATTTAACAGTAGTGTATTATTTTTCAAAACTCGTCAACTTGAAACATTTTGAAACGTTCAACATGTAAGTACTATTTTCTTGACATTTTTTATTGCATATGTAACTTAAAGATTTTTTTCTTTTGTATTATTATACAAAAAATTGTATTGTTTGTAAATTTTCTAAACATTAAACACAATAAATTCAGCAAACATAGGGAAGAAGAAATCGTTTTTTCGCGTTGTTGTTCAAGTCCTGCAAGTTATACCAATTTTTTGTTTATGCACCCATTGAAAAATGAAAATAATGTATTTACTCTTAAGGTAAAAAAATATAGTAATAACTCTTAATAATATTTGGAATTTCGCATTTATTCAAATTTTTTTAGTTACGTTGCATTCTTTAGGGACACTTTTAAATTTTCCATTTTTCTATTTTCCCCTTCGGGAAAATGGTTCCAACTCATCGTTTATGTTATTCTATTTTGTTTTTCCATTTTTCAAATTAATTCAAAATTAAGCTCTTTAGTGAAAAACTCCTTGAAAAAAGATTTCTTATTATTTCAAAAACTTCAAAACGACGAAACATTTTACACAAACTACTATTCCAAAAAATTTAGAAAACAAAAAAGTTCTTAAATTTTTTGATGATTTTTGAAATATTGTACCTCAATGAAAAATGATCGTACCTAGATTTCTTTTGGCAAAATCTGAGCCCCGGTTATTACGTAATCCTAAGAAATAGAGCGAGAAAAGAATTGTATTTTTTTATTCTTTTTTTTTAGTCCACGGAGTTGGGGAAATTTTAATTAATTAAATCAATACATGAGCCGGATAGCTTGTTCATTCAAATTTTGCTTTTTCTTCGTTCTTTTTACATCGATTTGTCGCTGAGATAGTTGACTTTTAATGAAAAAGATAGAAATATTCGAAAAAATTTGATATTTTCGAAAATGTAGGAAATCAAAAACTAATACTGATTAATTTTTGAAACCATTTAATTAGCTTTTGCATACCCTAATTTTACTCATCTCAAATTATTTGCAGTAATAAAAAGTTGATACCCCCAAGCTGTATTCAGCACTCGATTTACGAACATTCATGCAAATTTAAAAAAAAGTCATTTTTTAATTGTTTCCATTTTTTTTCAAATTTAATAGTAGTGTATTATTTTTCAAAACTCAACAACTTGAAACATTTTGAAACTTTCAACATGTAAGTACTATTTTCTTGCCACTTTTTATTGCATATGCAACTTAAAGATTTTTTTCTTTTGTATTATACAAAAAATTGTATTGTCTTTAAATTTTCTAAATATTAAACACAATAAATTCAGTAAACATAGGGAAGAAGAAATCGCGAAATTTTTCGCGTTGTTGTTCTCAATTCTAGCAAGTTATAGCAATTTTTTGTTTATGTACCTATTGAAAATATGAAAAGTCAGCGGCCATGACTAAAAAGAAATCCTTTATAATAAGTCCCAATTAAGCACTCAAACAATATATTTGCCTTAAGAACGTCGGTTTCGTATCGAGGAAGTAATATCTGGCGCCCCCCAGGGAGGAAGAGGAACGTGGAAACAACAACAGCGGCTTAAAGAGGATCTTACCTGAGATAAAATATTAATATTGATGGTCTGTGCATATTACAGTAGCCAATCTGTGCTGTTGAGTAATGCATAGGGCGACGAGACAGTCGACCTGCCCGCGCCGCAGACACATTGAAGAGTCCTTTTCCTCTACAAGGGGGAAAATTTCGGTTTCGCTGTTTATTGTGCAATTAAATGACAATTAATGTGGATTTCTTGAAATTAAATTAGCGCAGACGGCGGACAAATAATGAACAGTGGGGGAGATGGTGGTTTAATTTAAATGCTACAAACAGCTTGAGTACTTGGAATATTTTAACTTGTTTTTCATAAAATGGGAGATATAGCGACGCGGTGGGGTTTTTCTTATTAAATTGAGAAAACGCCTCAGGCCCACAAAGCAATAGAGGAAATTAATTGTTATTGTGGAAATTCTAACAAGATTTTCCAAAAGTAGTCTGGCTGAAAACCTGTTGCATAATAAATTTCCGAATTAGCCCGCTGTTAACATCTTGTTTGCGTTTTGTATTTTTTATTTATTGGATGTCTGGAGCGCAACAATTCGTCTCGTGACTTGGCTCGATTAGACTTGAGACTGAAACTCTGAAAAACTCCCTGTAAAAAGTAATCTCACAACTGCTGCTCATTTCGGATGCGGTTACACGATTCAGACGAATGAATGGAGATCAGTATCGCGTGTTGCACGCACCTTGCCTTCTTACGAGCCCCCACATTCTGCATAAAACTCCTCTTTGATCAAACGGCGCAATGGCATGCTCAATCGCGAGATTTATGTCGATACCATCGGCTTATTAACAAGTGATTTATGAAGGGTTGGGGACGTCTCCAGATGAAAACATTACGGAATAATTGAGTTGCGAGTTGAAGCGAAATTTTACAAAGTAAATGTGATAATTGAAAATTAAATGGCTGGCTTTGATTCACGTAATAAACTGAAAGTTTGAAGATGTAATTTGCCCAACTTTGCCTAATTACATTATTTGCTGAAATTGCGCTCCATCATCGCAATTTTTTTAATTTCAATGAGAAAACAAGTTTTATAATTTATTCGGTGGCCTAGTGCCAACCGGAACCCTTCGTCGATTTCCATCCGGAATTTTCCGGTGGATTAAACCTTTGCTTAAATAATTGAACCTTAACTCGCAA